CCGGGGTTGTGCATGTATCTCGATACCATGCTCACGGCCTGTGATAAATCTGGCATCGTACACACCATCGCATACATCAAGCTACCTACTGCACTGGCATATGGGACCTTCGACATATAATCTCTGTCCTCAACTGAAACATGTGACATCAACGCTGAAAGCTTGAAGTGGGGAGCCAATGGTATGCTAACTGCTTTTGCATTTCCATCAAAGCTGAATTTCTTCAACATCTTCTGCAAGTAGCTCTTCTGTGTAAGCTTCAAACTCCCTCTCACCCTGTCTCTCTCGATCTTCATACCCAATATCTTCTTTGCCTCACCAAGATCCTTCATCTCAAACTCGGATGATAACTCATCTTTCAGCTTTTGAATAGCCGAAGAATTCCTGGAAACAATAAGCATATCGTCAACATATAAAAGCAAATATATGAGCTCACCATCCTGTAGCTTGTGCATATAAACGCATGGGTCATATGGGCTCCTCGTGTACCCTCGGCCAATCATAAAACCGTCGAATCTCTTATACCACTGTCTTGGTGACTGCTTCAAACCATAAAGAGACTTCTTCAGCTTACAAACCAAATCTTCCTTTCCTACAGCTTTGAAACCCTGGGGTTGTGTCATGTAGATCTCCTCATCTAAATCACCATGTAGAAAGGCTGTCTTCACATCCATTTGGACCAAATCCAAATCCAACTGTGCCACCAACGCTAATAAAATCCGAATCGACGAATGCTTCACAACGGGTGAAAATACCTCGTTATAATCAATGCCCTCAAGCTGTGCATACCCCTTGGCAACCAATCTGGCTTTGAACCGAATGTCCCCAATAGAAGATCCCTCCTTCTTCGCATATACCCACTTGCAACCAATAGCTTTCTTACCCTTAAGTAGATGTGCAAGTGCCCAAGTGTCGTTTTTCTGAAGAAACTTCATCTCCTCCACAATAGCTTCCCTCCACCTGATCGAATCGGGGCTAGACTCTGCCCCCCTGAATGTGGCTGGAACCATATCATCAACGACCTTCACTGATAATGCGTATGCGACCATGACATCATTATACCTAGCTGGCTGACGAATCTCTCTCCTCGGTCTATCTGCTGCAATAGTCCTCTGAACATGACCATGTTCCTGAGTCCCATGATCCACTGTACCCTCGGTCTGCCCGGCTATCATCTCATCTCCTCCCAGTGTCACCTCTGTAGGAGCCTCAATGGATACAGTGCTCTCTGGAGTGGGTGGAGTCACATTAACCTCCACCTGCTGCGATATCTCTTCTGTTTGGTCTCCCTCCACCTGCTGAGGGGCTCGAGGCCTCATCATGTACGTCTCGTCAAATGTGACATCTCTGCTAATAACTATCTTCTTGTCCAGTGGATCCCATAACTTGAAGCCTTTGACTCCATCTCTAAATCCCACAAAGACTGCTTTCCTCGCTCTCGGATTTAATTTACCATCACTGACATGATAATAAGCTGGACACCCGAATATCCGAAGCGACTCATAGTCACTAGCTACCGAACCAAACCAACGCTCCAAAGGAGTCTTTCCGTCTATCGCAGTGCACGACATCCTGTTCACGAGATGGCTCGCATAAACTAACGCCTCGGCCCAAAAGGATCTAGGCAATCCACTCTGCGTCATCATACACCGCACCTTCTCCAGCAAGGTACGGTTCAATCTCTCAGCCACCCCGTTCTGTTACGGTGTCTCTCGAACTGTGAAGTGTCTTCTGATGCCATGATCTCGGTAAAACTGCAGAAACAGATCACTCTTGTACTCTCTGCCGTTATCTGAACATAGAGTCTTTACCTTTCTACCTGTCTGCAGCTCCACTTTCTTCTTCCACTCCACAAAAATATCCAGGACCTGATGTTTATGCTTCATCGGTATACCCAATTCCTCCTGGAATAGTCATCAAGACAAAATAGTTGGCCCCCCAAGAGATGTGTTCTTGGAAGGACCCCAAACATCTGTGTGAATATAATCCAATGTACCTCGGGTGTTGTGAACAGCGGTGCCAAACTTCACTCTAGTCTTCTTCCCAAGTACACAATGCTCACACAACTCCATCTTGCAGGTCTTAGCACCTTTTAATAGCCCATGTTTTGCCAATGACTGCAGGGACTTATCTCTTGTGTGTCCAAGTCTCATGTGCCATAAGGTAGTAATGTCCTCCTCTGTAGTAATAGAAGCTGACAGACCCCCTGTAACTGTCTTGCCCTTCAAGTAGTATAGGTTGTTTTCCCTAACACCTCGCATCACCACCATAGAACCCTTCGTGACCTTCACTATAGCATCCTCTAAGATCACTCGATATCCTGCTGCCTCCAAAGTCCCAAGAGAAATGATGTTCTTCGTCAACTGCGACACGAACCTCACTTCCTTCAATTCTCTCACTACACCATCATGCATCATGATCCGGACTGAACCAATACCACCAATAGGACATACGTGGTCATTACCCATAAGCACGACATCCCCTCTTTCCAGCTCCTCAAAGCTAGAGAACCACTCCCTCTTAGGGCAGATGTGATATGTAGCTCCCGAATCCATCATCCACTCCGTGGAATCTGCATAGCAAACCGACGGTAACGCAGGGCATGAATAACCTGAAGAATCTGAATCTGAATGCTCACTAATAGCTTTTGCAACATTCACTTCGGAAGCTTGTGCAGCTTTCCCCTTATTCTTCCCGACTTTTTCTTTCCACTTTGGGCAGTCAATCTTCCAATGTCCTTCTTCTTTACAATACCGACATTGATTTCTACCAACACTCTTATAGACACTTCTATTCTTTGACTTTGAGCGGTTGAATTGGCGACGGTTTGAATCTCGACCTCGAACTGCTAGTGCATCTCCCGATGCCTTCTCGGAGGGTTCACTATCACTCTTCCTCAACTCATAGTTCACCAAAGCTGAGGTCACCTCCTTGTAGCTGACTGTAGTTCTTCCATTGATCATAGTGAGAACGAACGTACCATAATCATCTTCGGGCAACGAACACAGAAGTAGCATCGCCTTGTCTTCATCAACTATAATACCCACATTGGCCATATCTGAAAGTAGCTTAGTGAAATTGTTAACATGCTCCCTGATGGAAACCCCCCTCTTCATCTTGAACTGATAAAATCTCTTCTTCAAGTGAAGCCGATTCTCAATGCTCTTCGTCAGATATTTCTCATTGAGTGTTTCCCACATCTTCTTCGCCGACGTCTCGTTCATAACATCATAAATAAGATCCGGCGTCAAGCATGACCTAATAACACCACAAGCTCTACTGTTCATCTTTCTCCAAACCTTATCCTCCAACTCAGCGGGTTTCTCTTTTAACTCAAGAGTCACCTCCAAATTCTGTGCATCCAAGGCATCCATCACATGACACCTCCACAATCCAAAATTGATCTTGCTATCGAACTTCGGAACATCAATCTTCGTGTTATTGATGCTCAGACTCTGTATCGCCTTTGTTAGAGACGAACCTGACGTGCTTGCATCTCCCATGTTGTCGATCTAGCTCTGATACCAATTGTTGTGCGCGGGGGAAGCTTTTAGGGCAACACAAACAATAACTCGAACCAAATCACAAACAATATGCAAAACACAACTACAGCAAGAACAAAGGATTTTACGTGGTTTGGCAAGTTGCCTACGTTCACGGGGCAAGGAGGGGGGAGAGATTTTACTACTAGAAATCAAGAGAATACAAATAGGATTACAAATCTCTCAGACCAAACCCTAAAACAAAACACTTGATCTCTCAAAGCTCTCCCACAATTGGATGCAACAATCCTCTCTCAAAAGCTGCTCAAATTCGTCCTTGCATTTTCCCTAACAAATCTGGTTTTAGTTTATATAACAACTTAAAACCGAATCGGGTCAAAACCTGAAGCCCAGCCCAGATCATCGTCGGTCGACCGCGTCGGTCGACCGCGCAGGTCTCGCGGTCGACCGCGCCGGTCGACCGAATCATCAAACCCGAGAGTAAAAACGCTTACAGTCATCCGCGGTCGACCGCGCCGGTCGACCGCCACCAGCTCCGGTCGACCGCCACACACTCCGATTCCCAGTCGGTTTGGTGCACGTTTGCGGTCGCCCGCGCCGGTCGACCGCCAAACTCTCTGCTGAATTTTCTGATTTTTTGTAATTCTTCAAGTTCCATTGAGATGCTTATGTTATTTTTTTTTTGTACAAAGTGACAGGAACTTCCTCTGCATAAAAAAGATGATAATAATTAGAAAAACATGCTAGCTCAAATATGAACATAGACGTACTTCTCTCTAGAGTAGTTCATAGTGTTTGAAGGGGGTGTGTTACTCATAGTCGCATTTCACATGTTTCTCCTACACTTGAATGGACGAAAAAGTCACCAAAAGAGGTGAAACTCCCAATAGTTATATAGATCACCATGAATCTCATTTTCTTCATCCCAATATATGAACAGATCACTAAATCTCATTTTGAATTTTTTCAAACCGTATATTTGCAAGAGTTATTACATAACACGTGAGTATTAACTTGTCAGCCTTAACATAGCGAGTTAGAATATTCAGTATTATCTGTTTTAAGAAACTTGAAATTTTCTGAATTCATCAAAAT